AGTGAATGTCCCAGCCACGCACAGAAGTCAACCTCACTACTTACACCCTAAAACACACGATATCACCTAAATGAATTGTGGTCAGCGCTTATATCAATGAACCATATATTAGTGCACAAATGGATACATGGCGGTTGATACTCCGTATTATGTCCACAATAATATATTAGTGCATAAATGTTACTACTTCATTAGTTTTTAATTTGGTTACTTTCAATTAAATATAACAGGAGGCAATAAGAAAACGAGGATCACGTTTATGAAATCGTGCGTGACTTGTGTTTTTTTTAGAGATTCGTTGCTTTCGTCACGTGATCTACATTACCACTTGTACCTTGAATAATTTTACTCACGTGTGCGGTGGATGCTGAAAATATTTCGCGTGAGTATTTTGACGCATGCAACATTTAACTTGAGTAAAATTACTCACGTGTGCGCCGGGCTTTACCTATGAGATTGTTGTTTCGTATATAAGAGATTGAGTCGCCTGCGAAATTTTTTTCCCCCCGAGAGTTCCGGACCACAGCCAATCAGCGCACTCCATTCACTCGACTTCCTCGAAGCAACAATGTAAAATGAATACCACCTATCCCTAACCCTAACCCTAACCCTAATCCTAACCCTAACCCAAACACGAACCCGAACCCTAACACTAACTATAATCCAACCATATGTAGCCTGTCAGAGCAAAACATGCCGTAGGACTTCAATGTTCATTTTGAGTTATAGGTGAATTTTTCACCTAAAAGTAGTAAAAAGCCGATTTTTGTATGTTGTCATAAATACCTTTAGTAGTTATATATCCATGTTTGATATTACATCAATAAAACTGGCCAAAAGTGTAATATGCAGTAAGATATTTTTTTCAGATTTTTGTCCAAATGAAGGCCAAATGAAGACAAACTTTAACTTTATGACCTAATTACTCTGAACTTTGTTTTCCAAAATCGGCCCGATTCCAACTACTCAAATGCTCATAACTTCCGAACCATGTGACCTAGTGAAGAAGATCTTGGTGTCAAAATAACCAGAATTGAATGGTCTTTCTGATAAAACTACTAACTCATAATGTCCGAATCGAGCCCTACGGCAAGTTTTTATCTGACAGGCTACATATATATATACGAACCATATATTACAAAACACTATCTATGGTGGGTCCGGAACTCTCGTGGGGAAAAAAATGTCGCGAGCCGCCTATGCAAGTCTTATCGCAATTACTGACAGATATATCGTATCAAGAGTCCATAATAAAAAAACTCGTATCTATATCGTACTTATATCTCACTGGGCAAATGTCGCGCGTCCGGGATCAGCTATAACGGCTCTAGCTTTCAGGAGAGACGGGGTGTTGATATTTGAGTGGAGGCGAGCCGAAGGCTGCCTGCGGTGCTAGGGTGGTCCGGAGGCATGGCCCCCTCCCACCTGGAAAATTCAGGCAGCTGTGTGGTCACAGGGGAAATCCCCAGTTTCTATCAGCCGGCAGACTGACTTTCTTATTTTGGGCCCCATTTTACTAGTATCATAACATTAGTCAGTGGCTAAACGGTGGGGATTGCACCCCCCTCTCTAGATCCGCCACTGTATAGAGAGAAAATCTTGACGATAATCGGCCATGAATTAGCCTATAATTATTACCTCCGCCGTTCTTGTAAGCCAGGTAGGGGAAACGCCACACGTTGCCCAACCCTACAGCGTAGGCAATGCACGTGAAGAGAAATTCCATCTGATTGCCCCATTGTTCACGGTCAGGTTTTGGCTTAGGTTCACTCTGCAAGGTAAATATTTAATGGTTCATTTCTATCTACGTAGCGTAGCTGTGTATCATGTGGTAACATTCCTTCCACGCGAACGCGCGCGCGTGCGTGGCGTGTGTGTGTTGGGTGCGTGCGTGCGCGCTGTGTGTGTGTGGGTGCGTGCGTGCGTGGCTGCGTGTGTGGGTGTGTGTGCGTGTCGCGTGTTGTGTGTGTGTGTGTGTGTGGTGTGTGTGTGTGTGTGTGTGGTGTGTGTGTGTGTGTGTGTGGTGTGTGTGTGTGTGTGTGTGTGTATGTGTGTGCTGGTTCATGGTGTGTGTGTGTGTGTGTGTGTGTGGTGTGTGTGTGTGTGTGTGTGTGTGTGCGTATGTGTGTGTGTGTGTGTGTGTGTGTGGTGTGTGTGTGTGTGTGTGTGTGTGTGTGTGGTGTTGTGTGTTGTGTGTGTGTGTGTGTGTGTGTGTTGTGTGAATATTGGACTATCGATCATCACTTGGCTAGGCAGGCGCAGGCTTGGACGCGAAGATTCGACAGTACTGGCTCACCATCATGTCCCTGATAGATAGATTTAGTCTTGAATAGCTGTATGACCACTTCACGTACACTAGCTACGACCACACTTTCGCTAACGACTTTTACCTGGCCGCGACGCTCTCTAATCATTATGTTTCTTGTTTCAAAGTTTTAGTTTAAAGCAATAAAATACATCGAAGCTGAGATCTGTTATATGTCGGCATCGCATTCGAGTCAAGACAAATTCTAATTTTAATCGAATAGAAATATCCCTCATCAAGCGAGTAGTACATACACGCTACAAGTTCATTGATATCGGTTTAGATGCTAATCGTTTGACTAACTCAGGGAGGAATTAGTAATGGCAAAAATACACTGCCTATATTCATTAACAGGAAACTAAGCCTCGCCTGCACATTATATCTATGTATCCTATCTATAATACACACAGGTACCATATATACACAGAGACTATAAAGTATATATGTGTCTTCGTATATATATATATATATATATATATCTATAATATACACAAGTTTATTCTACCAGCTACATTTCTTCCCCGGATGCAATAGCTAAACGTCTCGTGGCTATATTAGCGGTTCATTAAATCACTTCTCTTCCTCGGTCTCTAGAACGGCACGCGCTATTGAACCCGTTACGATATAGCCTGAAAAAACTTGCGTGAAGATGTGGCTATTACACTTGCCTCCGTGAAATGTTGCGTATGGTTTTGGCCCTTGGGTTATGTGAACGTGTTATACATGAATAACTCGCGAGCGAGATAATCACTGACCACCTGAATGATAATGAGATAACTAACTATCTGAGATATACCTGATTTCCATGACTATCAAACCTGACATATAACGTTCTGAGAAAAGACTAACACAATCTCAACGGTTTCATTCTATCTGGTATAGGCCTACCTCGTTTCCCGCGAGCGTCCCATCTCGTCGATGATTTAGTCCAGCGTATTCTTTTGTCGCACTGTATAGCCGTTACAAGATTCGACGTCGTTCAATTTGTGTTAAAGCAAATTATTTTTCGCTATTTAATATTTAATCTTGGGGAGGGTATCAGCAAACCGGCGATTTGGCAAACCCGCACAAGCTCGCTGAACGGTGTCTAGGTCGTATCCATCAATGTCTCTGCTCTCGGTATACCTATAACTCTGTGTATATGCCTAACGTAGATGTAAATGCGCGTGTAAAATACGTTAATGTTGTGTTTTATACGACGCGATGTTACGTGCAGGGGCATTAACGCAGAGAAGAACAAGCGACCATTATATTGTAATTTACACAAACACTGTTTTACGGCTTCATCTCTCGTAAGCTTAAACTACAAATGTCCGTTTTTCATTCACGCGAAGGCGTAATATATGCATATATATGCGCACGCACACATTTATATGTATATACATATTGGTCAGGGATATGAAATATACATGAAAATTACAAACATACATTGAAAATGTCCGTGCGTCAGATCTATAAAGCTGTCACGGAGCGGAACTGCTAAAACCCACTGTTTAATTTCTGGCGCCATTCATGTGATGAAAAGAAAAGATGCACGTGAAACAAGAAAGTGGCGCGAAGGTCAGGTGAAAGTCGATCGACAACCATAACCACTATTTACTTATAGCTATGGAAGGTTGAACGAACCACGGTTATCTAAACATAGCGTCATCCAATACGGAGCAAGACGTAAGGAGGGATCTAGAGAAGATTCTGAGATGGAGGAAGGATTTCTGTTCTGTCCAGAATAAATGGATACGACTGCCTGCCAAACGTGGCTCATAAGACGGATAGGTAGACGCCAATGTTGCGTCCATTTCCACCACAACTTAGAAGGGTAGTAAAGACAGCAAAATTGCACATTTCTCTGTCACAGAATGAACAGACATGGCAAAAAATTGCTTATCGTGACAGAATCAACACAAGAAAACATTTTTCAGAAAGCAGGAGGCCAAACGACACGTCACGCCATGGCCCCCAACATTGACGCAAGGCTGCCAACATTGAGTTGGAGTTGAGAGTGAGATTATGCAAGGGAGCGTAGCGACCGAGATGGGGGATGGTGTGGGAGGGTGGGGCCATCCCACACCAGGGAGCTTTTGTATTTTTCAGCATGAAATTGTGCATTCTGGTGCACTCTGGTGCATTCTGGTGGGAGCTTTTAAACATACACATGTATGTAATGTGTATACACTGTAGTTCTGCTTTTAGATGGATTAGGTACATGTGTGCGTGAGAATTAACAGACCCAGAGTGAGAGCATGAGATTAGCCTCAATTGCGTGAGTCTCACGCCGAATGCGTGAGAGTTGGCAGCCTTTCAAGGGTGGGCCGGGAAAGATAGTGACGCGGTACATGTTTAACTGAAGGTAAGTTTAAAAACGAATTTAATATACAAATATGAGGATCTTAGAAGAGCGAAACATCTGCTTGTTTGACTGAAATAGATTATAACACACAAAATAGAAGCGCAAAAGCAAATTTTCTCTCTATCTCGAAAGGTATCCAAAAGGCTAAAAATGTACTAAATGATGAGAGCGGTATAAGACATATCAAAGGCTCTTTCTAATTTGAATAAAGTAGCAGAAGATGCGCACCAAACGCACTTCTCTACTACGAAAGTAAAGACAATAAAAAAACGTTCAAAAAATAATCAACGTTATTTGCGAGGAACGATATACTATATTATTATAACAGCACAGACTGGAGAAATACTGATAAGGACGGACGCAGCAAATCAGCAGTATAGATCAATTCTAAAATAACTTTAAAAAATTGATTAAAATGACTCTTACTTTGACAGCTTCAGTTTTATCCATTATCTCCGCGCGCTCGTTCTGGTACGCTGTTGTGGCCGTGTGTTGTGGATAGAATTAACAATATTTCTCGAGCCATCCGTGGTGATCGATGCTAAAGTTCTCTGCCGCCGTATGGGGATACCAGCCTTATATATGACAAGAATGTGATTGGCACTTTGCTTATCTAGTGTACTATAAAAACTACTATCACCGAAGATAAATATCATATGAGCCAGTGATCCGCGCGCAGGCACAATAAAAGTTCCGGTGCCGAATTTTCCGTAAAGAAATAGTTGTGTCACGATCACATCACAACACATGTGGAATTCCCACAATGATGTGTCCATCCGAGACGTTAACAGCGACTTGTTTACAAACACGACGTATTATTAGCTCATCTGACATAGTCAGATGCAGCTTGTAGAATCGCATGAGCGTGCGTCCGTGCGTGCGTCCGTGCGTGCGTCCGTCAGTGCGTCCGTGCGTCCGTCAACAGTTGGGCACAAAT